ATCATTTGGAAAGTCATTTTTTCCAAAAAAAAAAAATCACATTTTTCCCGTAAATAAATTTTCTACTCATTTTTCTGCATACATTCAATCACTATAATAATACATTTTTATGTAGAAACTCCAAAATCAGCAATCCACCACGACCTAAACGAGAGTTTGACAGCATGTTACGTTTACCTTTACTCTTCTGACACGTACAAATTGGCCACCGTAGAATGGTCAAAAGGTTGCTGTCCTATCATAGGCGAAGATGAGTCATTGGTGTGAGTAGTGACAGTTCCCTCTATTGGCGCTGTCTTAGAGTGTCACAAACAAAACAAATGGACACGTGGGTCGCTGTCCCATCTCGTTTAATTAGTGGTGGGGTTGGGAAGGCCCAGGACCAGGCCCATGGATACACATACAACACGTTCTTCTGTAGTGAAAGAGATAGGGCGGCAACGGAAGGCCAATTTTTATGCTCCTGTCCTGTCCTTGTAATTTGTGGTGGGGAAGGTGTGAAGGCCCATGGATGTACTGCACAATGCGCTCTAGTGTAAAGTGGTTGGGGTCCAAAGTCCAAACCGAGTTTTGAAACTCCTGAGTCATCTTTCGGTTCCTATTGGTCCTACCTACCTTAGAAATATCAGTGGAATCTCCCTTAGGTATGTGACACCACGACGGACGGTTCCTATTGTCATGGGCCAAGAAATTTATTACTCAGTAAGTAATCTGTAGGAGAAAAAGCAGACACATATATATATATATATATGATAGCTTTTAACAAGACTGAGAAAAATTTTGGAGCCATACATTTTTACTGCAAAGTAAACTTTGATGGCTTAAAGTCATCATTGTCTATCCTGAAATCACTCAAGTGGTTGCCTTTACCCGCCAAAAAAAAAAAAAATCAGTCATTTCATTAGTTTTCTTGGCAAGGAAAAGATACCCATAAAACTAAGTAATGATATAGAGCGTGTTTGGACAGCCAATTATTTGGCCAAATATATTTGCTGACATCACCATTACAATTTCCAATACACCTTTTTATCTTCCCAATTACCTTTTTATCTCACATACATCACATCACAAAAAGTGCTACAGTAAAAATATTTCACATAACTTACAATCCAAACACACTCATAGTTTACCGAGAAGGTAAAAAACTTGGATAGGCTTGATCTTGTGGTACAATTTTCTACACCATCAATTCTTCAGTTGGTGAGATGATATGACAAAATTTGAATCACAAGATCTACATAGATCTAATCTATCCAAATATAAGAAATTATACTGGCCTGTCATGTACTCCAAATGATTAATGATCAGACTCTATCTGGGATGAACATAGTTTTATGGCCTTGAAAATTACTATGTGAGTTTAACAAATTAATCTCTTTATTCTTTTTTTTTTTTTTTAATTTTGTTGATGGATTCCAGCTTATACATGCTTGTTTTAATTCCACCATTTTGATATTTACTTTTATTTTTCAATTAAATTTAGACCTTTGTTTTGGTAAAAGCCACTCTCCAGGCAACTGCCCAAGGTGATGTGAACATGGTGAAATGGACGCTATACTAGAAAGCAAATGTAGATGTCCCAACCCCACATTCTCATCTTGATTTTCAATATACTGTACTTATTTTGTTAAGTAATAATTGAGTGAAAGTAATTTATTGTCAGCTAACTTCATATTTCAATTTAGAGATAAGTTCAGATGACGCCACAGAAGGTTTAGAGATAAGTTTTGCTAAAGTAGTAGTGTTTTTGTTCTGGTTGGTTACGTGACGAAGTAGCATCGGGTCAGTTCATTTGACTTTGACAAGAAGGATTAGAGTAGTGGTCGGTTTTTGATAAAAAATGTTTGTAGGATCCATTGAATTTGAAAACATGAATTGGTAGAACAAGGGTGGATTGAATTGGTTTGTTTTGACGTGGTGGTGGACCAAGTATAGAAGGACCAGGGAATGGGGAAAACTAGATTCCTCGAAAGGAACATGTCTAGCTATATACGTTCGGTTATCTTGAATATCAACATAGTAATTAATAACTAAAAAGGAGTGTAGCCCAAAAACATAAGGGGTAGAACGAAGGTTCATTTTATTTTTAGGGAAAAATGCACTTTTCGTCCTCATTATTTGAGGTGTTAGGCAATTTCGTCCCCAAAATTTCAGTCAAAACACATTTTATCATTACAATTTTATAATTTTGACCAATTTCATTTTTAACGTTTCATGTAAACACATTTCATTTTCATAAGTTCGTAAATTTGACTAATTAAGAATAATTGATTGATTGCCAAGCAATTTGAATGGAATATCATCACTTGGCCATAGCATGCATGTTAGTAAAATTCAGAAAATATTGGATCAACCAAAAACCTCAAAAATTTTTTTTAATTCACTTTCTTATTTAAACAAAACTAAGAAATTTTCAACCACCATGATTCTCTTCTTAATCACAAATTGAACAAAAAGATTGAGAGGAAACGAAGTCATGGAGAAGAAATAACTCCATTATAGCCAATTGGATAAATCTTTCAAACAATCCCATTGCAATCAATTGAAGAAAAATATTAACGTGAAAGAAAGAACTGTTTCGATTGCCATTTGTTTCTAAAATTTTTGTTTCGTAGCATTATATACATGTTTTTCAAATTGTCTATGTATCATTTAATTTATTTTTTTATTTCACATATATTATATCACAAATTTAAAAGTAATAATATTTTATCCGAACACACTCATTGTTATTTATATAATTTAATCAATAATCGAATTAAGTATTAATACAATTATCAATGGGAAATGCTAGTTATGTAATGATACTTGGTCCAAATTGGTTAACAATTATTCAATTGTCCTCAATTGGTTAATTTTATGAAACTATGAGGATAAAATATGTTTACATGAAACTTTAGGGATGAAATCGATCAAAATTATAGAACTATAAGGATGAAATGTGTTTTGATTAAAACTTTAGGGACAGGCGTCTTTACTGTACGTGACTGACTTGACTTCAGCTTGTGGGAGCGTATCCAATAATAGTGTATCTTCCATTGATAGTCATCAAATAATTAATTTTTATCTAATAGCCAGCATATACTTGATTATCTCTTTGTGTGTGTGTGTGTGTGTGTGATAATTGTGTGAAAGTAATTCATTGTAGCCAACTTCAAATTTCAACTATGTATTGCTTAATGAGTGATGCATTGAAATTTCAACTTCAAATTGAAATCATGAGTGACGCATTGCTTAATTAATTGAGATCATTTTACACTTTTTAGTAACAAAATTGTTGCATAAACTTTTCAGTGATTGCAGAATTTTAGATCCTTCTTATATTAGAGTAAACATATTTTGGTTCACTCCAAGGGTTTGGAATGATAAAGTTTTTTAGGATAAAAATTAAGAGCTTTTCTTTATATTTCAATAAATTTTTATTTTACAACTTTTCTACGATGAATAACTCCTTAGAGTTCCACGCAAGCGTACTTTATGATACTTCAATTGTTTGTATAGGCAAAATACGCGATATAGCTTGCGCATTTGGTTCAAATAAACATATGTTTTTTTTTTAATTTTAGAGAAATAGAAGAATAAAAGAGTAGTATGTTGATAAACACAACCTGCATTCGATGTTTATATATACTAGAAAGAGTAAAGTTTTTACTAGCAAGAAGATTAGCTAACATTTATATCCTTAATAATAACAGACAAAGCACTTCCTACTGTTTTTTTTTTTCTTTTTCATTTTAACATGAAAAGGACCGAGAAATCTGTACTTAGAATATTGGGTGAACAACTACTGAGATAGAAATAAACCAACAGTCATTTGGGATGTTGGTTACTACCATAATCTTTAACATTTGGTGAGGTAGGAGGTCAAGAGTTCAAATTTTATTTTTCACTACTTGCTACTATATGTGGCTTGCCACTTTAAATTGCTTAAATTCATACAGATGTGTAGTGCATCGGTTGGTCTGATAGTGGGTCAATCAATTGGGCCCTCCAACTTGAGTAAGGAAATTTAAAACCTTGTTGTCTATTTGTCGGAAAAAGAGATACTTCATAGTTAGAAAAAGGAAAAGAAAAAGAACTAAATTTGGGGCTATAGATGCTTTTGGTGCTGGAGGACAACATTGTAGCTAAGCAATTTTGCTAAACTATAGTCAAATATTAATTCCAGAGTGGGGAGCGCATTATGAGCAAAGTAATGTAATGTCTCATTCAGATGGTGGATGGATTGGCATTGATGAAGAAGGAGGTCCGATGAGGTAAACAGCTCGATTGATGTTACTCCAGCGTGAAGGATCAGGCGAAATGGCCAATGGGTACCTACTGCTTTCATTGTTGTCGAAATTGTGCTTGATGAACTTCGAGCGATTGGTCATGAGATTGTACCAAGTCTTGCTTTTTGTCTCATGGTTGATCTGTAAAATAAGACCTGTGACTAAAGTTTGATTGATGAATTGGGGCCTATTTGCCGAAAAGAATAGGTGTGGTCATATAATTAAGCCACTAGATCACTTTTTTTTTTTTTTTGAGAGCATTCATTTCGCAAATATGTGGTGAAAGGACAGAATTTTGTCTATAATGAAGTATACGGTACAATGAGTTTTCGCCAATTACTATACGTCTACACTTATCTTCCTCTGAGCTTGAATCTGTGACATGTTACCTCCTATTCTTATATCAAAGATAATAAATCTAATCCTATTAAAAGTTGTTCCAGATGATACAAAATTTTCTCGACTATCAAAAAGAGAAATAGCAAGACAAATTTAAGCGCATTCAAATTTGAGATGTCTAATTTTGATGGTATAACTGCATAAAATTTAAAAGATAATTGACAGAGATTGAAGATGCTAGTCCAACTACCACAGATGTACGGAAACTTGGGACTGGCCCTCTATAAATGTTGGTCCGATGGTTAAGGTCCATACACGTTAGCATTTGCATTCTACTAGGTCAAGGTGAGCTGATCAGTGGTTTTGTGACTAGCAGAGCTAGAAGGAACTATGGCTAATACAGCAGAAACATTGGAGGCTGAGATAAGGATCAAGTTTGATCCTGATGAGTACTTCCACACCTTTGCTGGCAAAGCACACCAGCTTCCAAGTCTTTGCTCTGATAAAATGCATGGCATTGATGTTCATGAAGGTGATTGGAAGACTACAGGCTCTGTCAAGCTATTGACTTATGCTATAGGTGAGTAACAAAGGCCAACCCTGCACTCGATCTTGAAGTTTCGTTTACTATTATCAAAATCTTTTATTGGATTAGGAAAAGGTGGTAAGGTTTAGGGTGTCATCCTTGCTAAGGGACATTTTTGAATTTTTATTAATTATTTTCTAAGAAAGTCGTGAATACATATGCATCGTTTGACGTATCCTTCGTCTTCATCGATTAAGAAACAATTTTAGTACTGGAAAGGATCCAAAAACTGCTTTTAACCTTGCTGGATTACTTTGTTTAATATCTACTTTGGTGAAAATTTATACAGATGGAAAGTTGAAACTGTAAAAGAGAGGATTGGAGTGGATGAGGAGAACCGGACAATCACTTACGAAGTTCTTGAAGGGCACATTTTGGAACAATACAAGACCTATAAGGCTAAGTTCCAGGTTATCTCAAAAGGTGACTCAAACTTTGCCAAATGGGGTATTGAATATGAGAACTTCAGTGAGAATGAGCGTCCTCCATTTCATTACCTCCAATGGCTAGTTCATGCTGCAAAAGATGTGGATGCTTCACTTCTCAAAGCGCACGAAAATAAATAATACATCTATATGTACCATATAATTCTTCTATGGGTGATATATTTATCTTCATTGCCTCGGTCCGGGGTACCCGGAGTAAAAAAAAACAAGAATGAAAGAGAATCTTTAATGTACTCCATTGTCTGGGCTTAGTGAAGCCTCCAAAAATTTGCTCTCCTGTTAGTGCTTGATTGTAATTTGTGTAAGTGTTAGCGATTCTACTCCTGCTAGTGATTGGTTGTAATTTGTATAAGTGTTAGCAATTCTAGTCCTGTTAGTGCTTGTTGTAATTTGTGTAAGTGTTAGCAATTCTACTCCTGCTAGTGATTGGTTGTAATTTGTATAAGTGTTAGCAATTCTACTCCTGTTAGTGCTTGGTTGTAATTTGTATGTGTTAACGATTCTACGTGTAATGACGAAAAATAAAATGAATGTTTCGTGTGGCTTTATATCTATCTTAACTTTCTTTCTTTTTTTTTTTTTTTTTGGCTTGATGAAGATATAAATGCTTGGTGCACTGGTTCACGATAATGAACCTTCAAATGCTTGTGTCTATATATGTGTGTGTGTGTGTGTGTATCTGTTTTCCTGCCGGGGAGACCTGAATAAAAGAGAAAGAGAAAGCCAGGAGGAATTGGAGAAAAATCACCATATTCCATGTTAAAGATCCTGAACTTTCATCTTTAAATCAATTCATGGTAAATACAGCAGCCCAACAACATCTTTATTAACTAGTTTAGTAAGCCTTTACTAAGTGATGTTTGATTACTTCATTTAACGACTTGCTTCCCATTGCAATTCCCAAATCGTATTGCCTTTGAATAAACTTTTTTTTGGAGCTCAATCTCCAAGTTTAGGATTAGTCAAGGAAGTGGTTGGAATGGTGACTTGGAAATTGAATTTTGTGGGGGCATACTGTTGACTTTATTAGTCTTTTCATCAAGGGTTAAATGCAAAAAACCCCCACAAATTATATATCAAGTTGCATTTTACCCCTAAACTATAATAATAATCATTTTGCCTCCCTGAATGATATGTTTGGACAATACTATCCCTACTATCTGAAATCCTTTTTTTTTTTTTTTTTTCTCTATTTCATTTTTTCCTTTTTTTTTCTTTATTTTCTCCTTCTTTCGTGGAACTAGCCAATGTCTCTCTCCGATGTGAAAGGACTTACATAAAAAATTTTAATATTCTTTAAACTGCTTTTTTAATTTGTTTATTTGTTAAATTCATTCTTAATAATTTGTCATAAACTCTTTGTTATTACAAAATATATGTAGCTTATATTGTAAAGTGTATTAATCTAGTAATTCAACAATTTAAGTGCCTATAAACTAATTAAGAGTTCACAGTTACTCAACTACTTATAATAAAAGTAACATATTATATATCACATAAAAAAGAAAAGTTAGCAATTGTTATTTGTAGTGAAATAAAAAATAAGAATAAACAACAATAGTAGTTCATTTTTTTTGTTATTGATACTACTACTAATTGATTAATCAATTTCTCTATTTTGTTATTATATATTTGAAAAGTTCAATTTCCTAAATGACATTGACTTCAACATTTGGAAAAAAAATCTTGTATTCCATAAATTTTTTTTTATAAAATATTGACATATGAAATTAAGAAATAAACAAATTTTGACTAATCTAGTCTACTTATTTAAACAATGTTTAAAGAAAAAAAAAGGAAGAATTTAAAAAGAAAAAGATAGGGAAAAAAGAAAAATAACAATGTTTAAAATAAAAGGGATAGATTTGTCCAAACATATCATTCAAGGAGGCAAAATGCCTATTATTATAGTTTATGGGGTAAACTGCAACTAGGTGTATAATTGGCGGGGGTATTTTGCATTTAACCCTTTCATCAATGCTGAGTCGTTTTCAAACGCATGTTGTTTGCTTAATGTTGTCCATCTTTCTCCAGATAGGTTAATTCCATATTCCTAACTAAATTCATTGCAGCTCTTTTAAACGCAATTTTATTATTATTTTTTTCGAGTTTTTCGAGTTAAATTCAGTTTGTCGTCTTCTCCTCAAGTGAAGACGTCAAGAATTTTGATCCATTAATACCCAACTACATCTAATCCTGCGCATTTTGGCTATGGGAGCACTGATTATATGATTATATCTGACATGTTTTCTCTGTTGTCTTTTTCGCCAAATAATGGTCTCTTGGTACAATTGGAATAAACGAGGGAATACGATTTTGTTTGGATGACTTGACTACAAAGAAAGGACTAGGGGTGTTTCGCGAATCGAGCGAATACGAGCTCGACTCGAGCTCATCAATATCGAGTTCGAGTCGAGCTTGAACTAATTAAATCGATCTCGAGCTCGAATTCGAGTTCAAAAACATTAAACTCGTTGACTCGCGAGTCTCAATTATATATTTATTTTTATTTTTTATTTTAATAGTAAAATTACATATATATTCCTAATATTTTATTATTTGTTAAAATATTATTGTTTTATTCATTTTTTAAAATAAATAATTATTTTTTATTTTTTAAAAATAAAATAAAATAATAATAATAATAATTTTTTATTTTTTAAGCTCGAGCTCGAGCTTGATAAAATAATAATAATAATTTTTTAAAAAATTATTTTTTAATAATAATAATAATAATAATTTTTTATTTTTAAAATAATAATAATTATTTTTTTATTTTTTAAGCTCGAGCTCGACTCGAGCTTGATATTTTGAGCTCGTCGAGCTCGAGTTCGAACTCGAGTTCGAGTTTCATAAAATTCGAGCTTCATAAAATTAACTCGAATTCGGCTCGTTTACACCCCTAGATGGGACCAAGAAATTCTTAATTAACTCGAAGAACTAGTTCATAACTCTAGGTTTAGTGTTACTATCATCGCTATGATTATTAGGGTTTCTGTTTTTCCTCATGGGGTATCATTATCGCAGCATGCTTCCTTTATATAACAGTGGTTCATTGCATAACATTTATCACTGCTGATTTAACTATCTTGCTGGCATCGATCTCAGGGAGCTGAAACTATTCTTTACAGTAGTCAATGCACCTTTTGAAAAACCGAGGTGCATTTCTAAAACTGAAAATGTTCTGTACTTTGTAGCTTCTGTTTTGAAATCTAAAAGCAGCAAGGAATGATCCGTGCAGTCCAAAAATTTGTTGCCAAAAAAAAAAAAGAAGCTTTAACACAAAGCACAGGAATCTATAATGTAACCATTTGTTTTGCATATTCGCATTAATAACTTATTAACGAAGCCTGTATTATAACATATCAAGCAAACAAATCTTTCTAACCCACTCGTCTTAGGTGATGGCCATAAAGCAAAGCATGAAATCTAGTTCTGGTTGCAGTTGGGTTTTCTTGGATTAATATGACATTTTATCTGCCCCTTAATTTTAATCTGGGACATGTTGCCTCTCGATATTGCATCAAAAGACATAGATAATTAACCTAATCCTGGTAATAGTCTAACAACAGAAATTTTGTCTTGACTATGATAAAGAAGAATAGCAAGGCAAATTTCCTGACCTAATCCAAAAATAATGTAGCCAGGTTTTTTTTTCTTTTTAAATTAAATTTCAAAACTTTGCTACTTAAGCCCAATTAGTATATTGAAATTTAAGCATAGGTATGAGCGGTATAACTACATAAACCTAAAACAGAATTGATAAAAAGCAAAGATATTAGTACAAACCATCACAAATGTACGGAAAAATGGAACTGATCCTATATAAGCGGTGGTCCGATGGTTAAAGTACATATACGTTAGCATTTGCATTCTACTAGGTGAAGGTGAGCTGAAAATCAGTAGCTTTTTGACTAGTAGAGCTAGAAAAAACTATGGCTAATACAGCAGAAAAGTTGGAGGCTGAGATAAAGATCCAAGTCTGATCCTGATGAGTTCTTCAATAGCTTTGGTTGTAAAGCAGACCAACTTCCAAATCTGTGTTCCGAGAAAGTCCATGGCATTGATGTTCATCAAGGTGATTGGAAGAATGCCGGCTCTGTCAGGCTATGTACTTGAGCATTAGGTGAATAACAAAGGCCAATCCTATACTCGATGTTGAAGGTTCAATTACTATGATTTTGCGATAGGGATGTATGCGAATCGAGCAACTCGGGTGCACATATGAAGCTGCTTGATCAATGGATTGTCTTGTTTCGACTTTGATCGTGTTTGAATCAATTTCAAACATGTTCGATTGTTGTAACGACTCGAGTGCAAGTAGGAATATAGTGTGCTATCGAGCGCTAGTGTAAATATTAAAGACTTAAAACACATAAGTGTTCAGAACTTATTGAGAAATTTCTACCCTTAACTTTTGTAGTACAGCTAGTTTCTTGGCATTGCAGTCAATTTGATCCCGTTAAAAATTTTAAAAATAAAACTCCTAAAAGAATAAACCCTTTTTTTGAAGGATAAAGAACTAAACCCTTTTTTTGAAGGATAAAAGAACTAAACCGTAAGTCTACACTCTCAGACTCTCAAACCTCAGTCTCTATCATTCTCAGTTAAAAACCACTACTACCGCCCCTTCTCCAACAACCAAATTAGGAGTCTGCAACCAGAGTACTTCTTCTCCTTTCTTTTTCGCTATTCTGTGTGATCATTATATGATTGAGTTAAGCTTTTGAGACTATTCAGTTTGATTAGTGCTTACAGGTTGAATATTTTGAAAATAAAGGGAGCAAAGTTTGTCTATTCTTTTTTTTTTCTTTTTTTCTTGTCTCAATATACTTTTACTTTGATAGTTTAGGATGTGAAACAATTGGGCATATGGTCCGTTTCATAATAGGTACTCTTGAATTTAGGCTGATTAGGTCATTTGAGGGCCATGACATCTTTTACCCAGAACGGTATGTGTTTAGCTGAATTTTGGTCGTCTTATATATGGTGTCTTTGAAATAGTAGTAGTTGATTAGAAGTCATTAACAAGGGATTTAGTGGCCAGCCATGAACATGGTTTAATTTTCCCGTCTTCCTTCCACAAGTGGAATTTGTATGATCTGCAATAGCTTGAGCAGAGATACATCATGAATGGAACATTGTTGAAAGAATTATTAACCATCATTGTCAGTTATTTATTCTACGAAACCAAGTGTACCTACAAATTCAATTGATTAGAGGCTTTCCCCTACGTTTTTAGCTCGAAAATTGAGTTGAACGACAAATTTCTTCTTTGAGTTGAAGAGGAAAGATTGAAGTGCCTTAAGTCGGTTGGTTGATTCAGCCTATGAGAAAGGTTTTTAGGTGCTTATAAAACTCAGATTTTCATAAGCCCATGAATGCCCTGCTCCATCAAGGATTATCAGCTCAGCATTCTCTCTCAAATGTCTGCACAAATAATGTCCATACAGTTTTGTCATTGCAAATTTCAGGCGTTCTTTCACTCCTTTATACTAATGTTTTCCTAAACGCACTGGAAGTTAATCATATTGCAACAGGCAAGAGGGAAAAGGGATCACACCCTTTTAATGTGTGAGCCAGTTCTATTGGAAAAGTCTGATTTTTATCCACCCCCCATAGGATCAAAGTTGGCTGCAATAAATTCCAACCCACCTCAAGGTTTAGAACTCCACAAAACAAGCGACATTCACTGGTACCATCCTATAACTTTTCATTCATGCAGTTTTTGATTTAGGTATCCTATCATCATAGATGAACTAGCAAAATTCTTTTGATACAAGTAACTTGAATTTCGAATTGCATGTGTAATTACAATTATATGCTGCGTAGAAAAGATCAATCTAATTAGTGAATTTCGAATTTTGAAGGCAAAGATCAATGAATGTTTAGGTGGCTTTATATCTATCTCAGTTGATGAAGATATAAATGCTAAGTGCATCGGTTCACCGTTTTGAACCTTCAAATTTCAAGGATCTCTCTAGTTTCCTCTCTTTAAATATCTCTTTTGGTTTCTTAATCAAAAGAGGATCTCTAAATTGCATAAGTAATCTTGTGATAACAAACACGTTAATTGATTTTCTAACGAAGGAACATGAGCAAAACTTCAGTTAGATCACAATTTCGTCATGTAATTTAATAAAATTTTGCTGTATCACACACACTTGTTTATCATATTCTGACTTCTTGCTAAATGTCCCAAAGAGGTGAACTAAACCAGCAGAAAGTACAACATTGGCGTGTAGCATCTCCACAATGTTAGTTACAATTGTACTCTACAATGTATGCATAGGAACAATAAATGTACGCACCTGCACAACAAATATATAAATTTAAATAACAATATCACTTCTTAATTTTACTTCTGTTGCAAAAGCGAATTTCGCTTCTTCTTAGGAATACTCAAAGCCCACTACATATTTTGATTACAGATAGATTACAGAAAAAAAAGTGTATTCATAAAACTAAAAGACTTTAAAATAGAAGTTTAAAGTGCAAGCTGAAAATCTATCAAAACATTACCTATCCAAAATCGAAATTGTCCTTTAAGCTACGCTAGTGTTCTGTGAGTCTGCTTTTGGTCGATTCTTGGCATGTTGTCCTAAGCATATACAAAACAAATCAAACTTGTCCAAATAATTATCATGGACTTCAATTGAAATGTAGAGCAATTTTGATTTCAGCTTGCTATGGATAAGGATTAGATAAAAATGTATAACCCGCCCCTAAAAAAAGAAATATACCCCACATCATTATTTCCCATTGAATTCCCCGTTGGAGACAGAAGTGGAGCATTTACCAATTTAACTAATAATCAAGTGTGACAGTATTGGCTAAACGCAGCAGTATATCATTTGCATGAGAAGATATTGCAACATGCATTCATGTTCACGATTACACGCATATTTTGCAGCTAAAAGAAAAGAGAACCACACATTTGTAACTTGTGGGAGCCAACCAATTAATGAAGCATCTATAGATCAGGTAGTCAAGTGGCTGAGTTGCATGAAACATAGTATTGTTCAAGGTTATTAGTAGGGCTTTTCTTCTCCTTCTCCTTCTTCTTCTTCTTTTTTTCGGTTTGATCAATTCTTGGAACTCTCTACTATGACTAGTAAATTAGTAGGTAAGTTGGAGGCTGAATTCAGGCTGATGTCTGATGCTAATGAGTTCTTCCATAGCTTTGGCGCTAAAGCACACCAACTCCCAGATCTTGTGAATGAGAAAGTTAACAGGATTGAAGTGCACGAAGGTGACTGGAAAACGAGTTTCTTTTTTTTTTTTTTTTTTCCCTATCGCATTGGCCGCAGCAATCTTCACGGCTTATGGTGGATTACGAGTTACTCCCTCCGTTCCTTATTAGATGGCCTGAATAACTAATTCTCTTAGATTAAGAAAGTTGGTTATTTTCTAAAAGTCAACAAAAGTTTTATTTTACTTCTCAAAATTACCCTTTATCTCTCTTCAACTATACCTAATTAATAGACACATTTCAATTTAATTCTTCATCTCTTCAACTACTTCTATTGTTAATACTACAAATACTGCATTTAATTATTTAGAGTTCCAATTCAAGAAAGTTGAAAGGGTAAACAAGGATAAATTTGAAAAAAAGTTTATAAATGCTTTCTTGATATCATAAAATGACAGATAAAAAGAAACACTGGATTAGGACATCTAATAAGGAATGGAGGGAGTATTAATTAGGCTTAAGATTCTCGCAAAAGTTATTGTGCATTAAGATTTAATAATCCACACAATTTTCTGTCGGTTGAACTTTTTGCCTTTCAACAGAATTTTCCTGTAGAAACCCAAAATAATTTTTGTAAGTTTGTAGTGATAAACATTAAGGCGCCTCTTCGATTTGGCATTTTGGCCACTCTTCGGCAAGAGAGAGAGTACAACCTTATTGCCATTAACTGGTCATAATGACCAAGATGTGCACTGGGCTCTTATTTAATTAATGAGATCCAACAGCCTTGCAGGTTTGTCCTTCAGATTAATTAATGTATCCAACAATTAAATGGTAGTTGTTAGGCATACCTTTGTGGCTAGTACACATAGCAATGAGTTGGCTGAAAATCCTTGTTGAACGTACGTATGTACGTACATACATATATATACATAAGCGCGCGCGCGCACACACACACATATATATATATGCGTGTGCGTGATGTATGTATACATATATATATACATACACACACATATATATACACATATATATGTATGTATATATGTATGTATGTACATATATATACATATGCACATGTATGTACATACATACACTTACACATGCGTGCACGCACACACAAACACACACATATATCCCAATTACAATTTGTTGATACATACCTGCAAAAGTTGCAAAAATATGAGAAACCAAAAGGACAAATACTTTTTTTTTTTTTTTTTGGTAGGAGACAAAAATCAAGAAACATTAAAAAATGAATTTCAAGAAAAAAAGCTCTTTTCCTAATTCATGACAACTAAAATAAAATGTCTTACTTATTTGTGCGCCTTGTCAAGAAAAAATAATACAGTACTAGGTAGGAAGGGGGCAAGATCAGAACAATTTCTTAAGAATGAATATATATGAATTCCATTTCAATTATTCAAAAAATAAATAAATGCTAGAGTAAATCGAAATGAGACCTCATAGTGTAATAATATCTGTCAGGCCCTGATTCTTAGCTTGGCCTTCCATATATTTGTTTTTCGTCAACTAAGCCCTCGAAACCTCTCTAAATTTTACTCTGCAAAATTATTAAACCACATTCTTATAAGTAAGTACTGCAAACACTGGACTGACTTTTGAATCAAAGGTAACTGATAAAGCAAGCTATGAATCGATCAAATAAATCAACATATAACTAATTTGTTGAATTAGAGGAAACTAAGTTTTCCGAGCCATCACAATCGATGTCCACAAATAATTCAGGAGACAATCTTTCAGCAGAAATTTATGAATCGATCATGCCAAAATTTGTACTCAACTTATTTCGTGCCCATGGACCGCAATTTTATTTGATATATTCACAATCTTTTATTTTTTATATTCTTTTCACGGGCTTTGGGCTTCCCTCAGTATCTTTTTGTATAATTTCTTGACAACAACTCTTATCATATGTTTCATGGCATTTTTATTGAGCTTGACATATTATCGTAATTAGCCTCCTCAATTGACTTTATCTCCTTATCCTTTCACTGGATGCAAAGAAATTGACTCTATATTATTGCTTCTTACGTAAAGACGGTAGAATAATAAGATTTTTCTATTGAGTGTTGTAAAGGCAAAAGATAAGCACAAAAAAAAAGAAGAAGAAGAAGAGGACCTAATACTAAACTTTTAAAATTACTATCTTTTTTTTTAGTGTAAGTGCGAGGTTTCGAATTCGGAATCTCTCACTTACACTCTTTCTTTTAATACTACCATTCATCTCTTGAATTGTAACACTTTCATTATAAAAGTTTTTACCCTTTTGCACAAAAAATAATGCCACGCCTACTTCTTATTTGTTGTACTTAGGTAAAACCATCACTTTACTGTATCTTAATGTTCATTTACTCCTTTAAGTTTTATGAATTTTTATTTTTTTTATGCGATCTAGCTTGTGAAGTAGTTAGCATACTCAGTCAATTATCTAATTTTCATAACGAAATGAGAAAGACATCAAGGATAAGGAGTCTATATTGTAGTTTAGTTTGGCGTAACGAAGCATCAATAGTTTTTAATAATTGATACTTTTCTCCATTACATTTTCTTGTTAAATTCGTTTTTCCCAAAATGTGGCAAATTGAGCCTAAAGCTAGATAATATAGGAAACAACAAATTAAGAGTGAAACATTATTCAGTGTTAAGAAAAGCCACTGATGAATTTCTTTGTGATGCAAATATAGATGGAAAAGTTGAGGTATACAAAGAGAGGCTCAAAATTGACGAGGAGAACAAGACCACTGCTGCTGAGGCAATAGATGGAGATTGTATGAAGCACTACAAGAACTATAAAGCAACGTTACAAGTTATCTCCAGAGGTGACTCCAGCTTTGCCAAATGTACGATTGACCATGAAAAACTGAACGACAATAAGCCTAGTCCAACAAAAAACCTGGACTGGCTAGTTCAAGGGTTAATATATATGCTTGTAGGGGAGCATCTAGATATCTGCTGCAGTAAAAAGATTTACAGCAAGAAAATTCCAATTCTCTGAAAAGAAAAAGATAAAGATAAAGAATGTAATCGAATCAGATGGATCAATTGATTAGTAAGATCTTTATCCCTGTACATGCCAATTGGTCCTCGGTTTCAATAAATATTGCATGTATATGTTGACAATTATTAGCAACCGCCACTTTGAAGTTGTTACTCTGTATTATGGCATTAGTTCTCACTTTTTAAATTGAACTTTCATTTTAGTCACTTTATGCCACCTTGAAGCTTTTTTTTTTGGCTTGTAAGTGGGAGGTCTTTAACCCTAAACCTCTTACTTACAATCTCTCTTAACTTATCATCTAATTCAACCCTCTCTCCAATGCCACAATGTAGTTGTCAACGTAACTATCTCAATTTGTACCAATTAGGTTCCCTTTTTAAACCGTGTAATTGTTTTATTCGTTGGCAGATAATTACCTATATCAATTATCAAATGCAGATAATGCAGATGAGAAGATCATCCTAGTCAATTGCCCAAAATTAGCAAACAATTAGATTGGTGCAGCTAAAAAGAAAATATTCAAATCCTTTTCTCTTGTCTTAGAAGTAGCCTTATTGATACATGAATGCAATGCCCTTCACTACTGTTTTGCAGTATTTTCAACATGATGATGGCTGAAGAGCTGCTTTCATCAAGATTTTGGCGTTTGCGACTTTTGCTGAGCGTATCCATGGTGTTGTTGAGTATCGAACAAAGAAAGAAAAAAGAATAAAAAAAAAGATGACTTTCTGATGTGCTTCACCATTCATGAAGCGGACAAATGTACAATTTCTTGATTTGAAGGGCCAAAATAATTTTTTTTCATTTCCATTCTTGTAACAATACGCGTGACTACCTATTAAAAAAGGAAAAAAAAAAACAATTTGTCAACATACTCTGATTTCCCTTTTCAATCATCCCAAAAACATTATAAAGTTTGGAAAAAAAAAATCCTTTTTTCGTCTACTTACCACGTGAATAAATGGTATGACATTTTTTACCTCTCTAATAAAACTATCAAGTTTGTTACTGCAAATAGAACATGCTTTGTCATCAAAAAGTTTTGCATTCACTCAATTAACCATCTATGCTAAACAGTTTCGCACAAAATGTTGACTTAATCTACGTAATAATCTAAAAGCTACTGTGAAATGAAAATTTGATTCTATAAATCATGGTTCAGCCAGTTTAGTTGGTAGAGCATTTACTAGGAAAAGGTGCACAGCGATTTTTCAGCATTACTACAACCAATTATGGCTAGTCCAATTCTAGCTGGAAAGTTAGAAGCTGAGATAAAGATTAAGTCTGATCCTGATGAGTTCTTCCAGAGCTTTGGTGGTAAAGCACACAAACTTCCAAATCTTTGCTCCGACAAAGTTCATGGTGTTAAGGTTCATCAAGGTGACTGGAAAACTAAGGGCTCTGTCAAGCTCTGGACTTATGCAATAGGTAACAAAAACCAACTCTATACTCTGTAAGATTGATAGTTACAAATTAGAGTTGCATGATTTTTTTTTTTTAAAATTTACTGTAGAACAGTTTGATATTATGGTGATTTTCCTGGGAATTTCAAGATGATATGCATCATAACTTCATGTTTTTCTGCCACCAATTTGGTAGAATATCCCTATAATAATGGATTAATTTGATAAATATTTTACTGCCCAGATGGAAAAGTTGAGACTCTGAAAGAAAGGCTTACGGTGGATGAAGAGAACAAGACTGTCACTGCAGAAGCAGTTGGAGGACACATTTTGGAACAATTAAAGAGCTACAAGGCTAGCTTACAAGTTATTCCAAAAGGCCAGTCCAACTATGCCAAATGGACAATTGAGTATGAGAATATCAATGAGAATGAGCCTGCTCCAACTAAGTACCTCCACTGGCTGATTCATGCTGGAAAAGACGTGGATGCTTCACTTGTCAAGGCATGAACATGCATGGTTATTTCAGTAGTTGAATAATAATAAGAGATAGAATGGTGTGAGTATGAAACAAAAGCTTGTTAAGGTTATGTATGTCATGTTATAAGCTTGGTGAGAGAGCTTTATTAAATTTGTTGTGGCTGTGATTGTGTGTTTGATATACTAATTACAATGAATATTTATAAATAAAATGATGGCTTGATGCCTAAAATGTTTTTGTGCTGTAATATTTGTGTATAATTTTCTTTCTTTCTTCTTTCTTCAATGTGCCTTGGCTTTCAAGTAAGATTAGCTGAACTAAACAGAATCAGCAAACACAAAAAAAAAAAAAAAAAAAAGATTAAGATCCTGAAAATGGATTGACTAGCTAGGAATATTGACTTATAAATCAGTACGTCTCCAAATATATATGTTACTCAAGTCTGCTTTGAAACATTGATCAAATATCAAATGCACAAATATGTTACATATATCAAATGCGTTACTTCAAGTTTCGACAAATTAACGATCAAATTCAGCTAAGATTATGAGTTTGTACAGCATCTGACTATAAGGAAATCTCATTTACTTAAAATTAATAGTTTGTTTTGAAAGTGACATTTGAAAAATCAAATTCAAATAAAATTAAGAGCTTATACTGAATGTCACTTTGAGTTAAAATTAGGATTTTATACTAAATATGATTTACGAGAAATTGAATTCAGTTAAATTTGAAATTTTGTATTAATTGCATGTTAAAGAATTCAAATTCAATATAAGACAAAAGTTTGTATTGAATGTCAATTTCACACATTCAGTTATAATTAAGTGCTTGTACAAAATGTGACTCAAACTGCGTAATAGCTCAATGCCAATAAAAGATCTATTAATAGTGCTACGTAAAATAATGTTTCAATTTTGTGCTAACATTTGCTCAGCCAACACAATTTTGAATGTCTGACAATGTTCACTATGCTAACTAGCAAGATGTACAAATACATTAGAGGTCGGCTACATCTTGTAGCTAAAATTGTGTGTGATTGTACAACTTCTTGAATATGTCCCTTGTCTGCCTGATAATACCAATCATCATCAATGGTTTATCTTTAAATTAAGGTTTCAGATATTATAGTTTCCATGTTTTGAAAAGTTAAAATCGAGAGGGATGCATCACCAACCTTGATAAAGTTAAAATTCTTTTTGCGTGCAAATTTGGAAATTGTGACCTTTTAAAAGTGCCCAACTTGTATTTCTGCACAATCACGTTTCTTTCTTTGTTTTTTTTTTTTTTTAAAATGGTATCCCTGACAATTGACTCTATATATCCCTGTAGTCTTTTCAATGATAGTATTTGCTTTCATCTGCCTTTCTTGTTAATTAACAGAACTAAGAAGAGATGAGTTTAACTGGTAATTAGCAGGTTTCTCAAACCGAGATAAAGTTGAATGGAGATGTGTTTCATGAGATCTTTAGAGACAAACCACATCATATATCCGATATGAGCCCGTCAATTGTTCAAGGTGTTGAATTGCATGATGGTGATTGGGGAACTGTAGGAGCCATGCAAGTGTGGAACTATACCCACGGTAAAAATTTGGATTTAATTTCGTCATTATTTCCATTGGTATTTTCTTCCAAAATTTACTGTATTTTATCTATGTTTTAGTATCAGAAGTGAGGAAATGACTAGGAATGTTGTTATCCCCTTTAAAAGATATGGCCAATTTTTGGCGGAGCTAGGACCTAAAGCCAGTGGGGTAATATTATACACCTAAGATAATGTCATTATTATGTAAAGAGAAATTTAATTAAAGATAATATTTTTATTGTGAGTTTTTTCTGTTGTGAATTTATTTCTTATTCAAGTCCTTAACAATTTTGTGTTTTAATAGCTTTAAAACATTTGTATTATAGGAAGTACGTCTTAAAAATTGGTTGTTTAAGGAAGATAATTAATGTGAGGAGAATGAAAATTTCTCATAATATAGGGAGACAATGTAGAGGAAAACGTGTACCTTTCACAATTGAGGAGGTGCTTTTATGATAAAAATATAAATATTTTTAATAGTTTCAAAACTATTTTTTTTTAATTTTGTAAAGTTGAGGGGGGCCAATTATATATCCCCCCTCAGCATAGTGTGGCTTCGCGACTGTAGCTAAGGCAAGGATCAGTACAGTTAGAAAGATGTAGTTATATATTTTACCCATCCAAGAGACAAATTATGTTGTCAGATACTAGTTTTTATCCCAATATTTGTGAATTTGAACCTGACAGCGGTGAAAACTCTAAGAGCTCTTCTTCATTAACCTCTGAGCTGACTCTAGTGGTTATATCATCGTTACTTGTAATCATATGTTAAAAATACCAAACACACGCGCAAACACACACCCGGGGTCTTGCTCTCTATATATGCTAATTGATTTATATGTGACTTTATACTCTTTCGCTTCATTTACCGGATTGTTGTTTGTTTTACAGATGGAAAACAGATATGCAAAGGAGAGATAATTGCGGAGCTAGATGAGGAAAAGAAGTTAGTACAGTTTTAAGGTAATTGAAGGAGATGTGCTGGAGTTATATAAGACCTCCATCGCAACTGTTCATGTTGATACCTATCAAACATTTGTGAATTGTTTAACCATGATTGTTCATTCTGTATAAACATCGAGCTTCAAAGTTCAGCGTTCCATTTATCGATAATTGTTTTAATGAGTAAAATCCTATAAAACTTTATTTCTCTCTCAATTAGAGCTGAAAGATTTTTTTTTTTTTTTTTTGCAAATGACAACTGAAATGTATTGCCATTGGAAAAAGTAGTTACATAATTGGAGCAACAGCTCCTATATCATCTTTGGCTAATCCAACTAATCAAAGGACGGAAGGACGCCTTCCACAAAGTTTCACAAGTTTGAAGCTAAAGTTTGCCAACTTGTGAATTACACAATTACCTTCCCTTTTAATAAAGGGAAAGTTAATATTTATAGAAATGCTTCCTAAGGGCGTGTTTAATAAAACTAAAATTTGAAACTAAAATCTAAACTTTGAAATCTAAATCTATTAAATTACTGAACTGCTAAATACTAAATTTGATAAATTTAAGTATATATCACATTAAATGATAACCCAATAGCTTATTACTTATTTTTTCAGAACAAGTTTTACCCAAAAAATTTAGTGTCATTTAATTAATTCAAAAGTTCTATTTTTTGTTATTAAATGCATCTGAATATATTAAAATCTGAATCTATTAATTTTAAGTGCTGATTTGAGTTGTCAAATAGGGCCTAGGTTTTCAAATAGGGTCAAGTATTATTCCAAGCATTGCATCATCCACAATTACCTACTTAGTATTCCAATCAAATTTGGCACTGTAAAAACTCATTTGAATTTAAGTAACCAACTAATCAAGCCAAATATGAATCATATTTTTGCTCAGAAAAGTTTCGACTTCAATTGGAATCTAACTCAATTGGTGTAAAACTTAAAATTTACATGTAAAAATTCAAGATACTCAATCTCAGTATGATAAAAGCTTATTTGAGTTCGGTATGGCAAATAAACTAATCAATCAAATTTGAACATTAACATGTTTAGTTTAAGTAGACTCATGTAAACCCTATTTCATACCCAAAATGATATGTTCCTTCGAATTTCTTTTGTTAACGGCCATACCTCTATGGTCTTAAGATGCTTCATTTGTACTTTACTACTTGTTCAGCATCCACATAAGGAAGTTAAAAAAATTTAGAACAATCCCAGGTAAAGCCCATGAGAGTGAAGGATTTGGACTTTTTGGGAAGGTGCATAATTTCAGGTACATACTGCAATGGCGAATTATAAAACCAAAAGCCCATAATGAATTTTTTTTTTTTTGGGTACTAATCCAGTAGCTGAAGAGAAACTCAGGGGTGCTTGGTTCAAGTTTAGGAATTGGAATTGTAATTGGAATCATAGACTCTGGTTTTGGAATTAAAACTTTTCATTCCGATATCTTGCTTGGTTCACACATTGGAATTAGCATTATTCCAATTCCTGATGCTTGGTTTGATGAGTGTTTCGGAATTAAATGCAATTAAATTCCAAATTTACCCCTGATATAACAATTCTTCTAAAACAAAAGAATTACACATACGACAAATTAACATTTCATAATTGTAACTACAATAGTTATTAACTTTTGATAAAACATAAGAAAATCATAAATAATAAAAAATTAATACCAGAAAATAAATATAGTGGCTGCATTAACAAGGAGTAAATTCCCAAAAAAAGGAGTTTTTAAACAATCACCCAAAAGGTGACGATTTTTTAGTCTCTTCCCAAAGGGTGAAAATGCATCCAAGGAATGTGTTCTTCAAATAAAAACGCAACTTTCAAATACGCTATTTTATGTTTTGGAAATTTATTTAAATATGAAAATTGGTTAAATAGCCATAAGATACCAGCTTTTATGGAAACTGGCAGGTTTTGTACCAGGTTTATGGAAAAAATTGATTAAATAGTGCCAAAGGAAACTAGTATGTTTTGTATTTAACATAAATTAAATATGTGAAAGTTAAAAAAACAAAATTGCCCATAAGATACCTCTTTAAAGGAAACTGAAGGTTTTGTAGTATGTTTTGTACCAACTCTTTATGGAAAACATACCAATTCTTTATGGAAAAATTGATTAAATAGGCCAAAGGAAACTAGTATGTTTTGTATTTAACATAAATTAAATATGTGAAAGTTAAAAAAAAAAGAAATTACTTATAAGATACAGCTCTTTATAGGAAATTAGCAGGTTTTGTATTTAATACGCTATTTAACCAATTTTTATATTTAAACAAATTTACGAAAATTAAAATAACGTATTTGAAAGTTGCATTTTTATTTGGAAGAACGCATTTCTTGAATGTGTTTTTCACCCTTGGGAAGAGACTAAAAATTGCCAGCCTTTAGGAAGTTAGTTTAAAAACTCTTTCTTTTTGGAAATTTACTCCATTAACAAGTCATTTGTGGTTCCTATTAGATAATGATATGAAATAGATCTCTCCTTACATATATGAACAAAAGAAGGAGACTCAAATCACAAAAGCTAACCATACCAAATACAAGTCAATTGTCTAATCCAGTCGAGAGTGCCACTCAATGTCCACAATCTCCAAAAGACTAATCATATAACCATCTAACAATCACCATAACAAAAAGAAATTGCCATCAAATCATCACTTTCCAGCTAACAATAATTTTACTTCAGCGAGTAGATGGAGGATAAAGGAGGTTAATTACATATTGTCGTTTCATTTCTGCAGGAAGATTGTAGAACACATGAAGCTTGGAAATCTGCTCCGAAAGTATGTCGGCTGCATTCATTACATCTCCACTCGGTAAAGCAAGTTTCATTAACTCAGCAACAACTTGATCTCTTCTATCGGAGACCAATTGCTCACGTTTATCCTCATTTGACATGGCTGCTGCCATAGTTGTGAAATTAGCTTGAATTCCCTCCACGAAATCTCCAAATTTGCTGGTGAGAAGTTGCAATGATGCATCAAGATCACCCCTTGTTGTTGATGCAGATTTCATTTTTTTTGACACATTTGCAATGGGAGGGGATTGTTTCTTTTGTTTCTTGGAATTTCTTGTACTTGTTGAGCTTGGTTGAGTTGATTGCTCATGGAATTTACTTCATCTTCTTCTACCTTATCATTATCCGAGTTTGACATAGCATCAAGCCCTTCATGTCCTTCCTCCAAATTTTGGACATCTTCCATATCTTGGACAGCTTGTGCAAAATCTTCAGCAACATTTCCAGTGGCTCTGTCTCTTCCATATACAATTTCAAGATCTCCTAAATATGGAAATTTGACATCCCAAAGGCCCTTCGCATCCTTATGAGTCTAGAGATAGAATAGAAAGATAAATGATAATCTTAATAAAAGGTTGAAAAAGAACATATCAGAATGTAAAAAGTAATCAATTTCTTACCTTGCACCAATCATCATACCACTGTTTTTCACAAGAAATCTTTTTCTCAGCATCATTCCAACTACAACCACTTTCTTTGCACATTTCAACAATTGCATGGAACCTATTTTTCAGCCACTTAACTTTTGATTCAATATGTGGGCTGACTTGTTTGGTAAAAGTAGGTTGCTTACGCAAGATAATTTTAAGCAATTCGCTCATATAATTATTTTTAAATCCTCCATCTGATTTCCACATTGGATCACAAGCCAACTCTTGCAATGATTCTATGAGCACTTTTACCTCTTCACCAGTCCAAAAACATTTATTTTTCCCTCTTCCACGTACAATTTCATCATTCTCCATCCTATCATTTAGAAGTCAACCCATATATATCAATTAATTTTGATACACAATAGCATATAACTGAAATTTATAATATAACAAAACACATAAAAGAACATACAATTAAAAGTCAATCCAAATTTAAAAGAACATACATCAAGTGTCAATCTAATTCACAAATCCACTACAAGAGTACATCAAATGTCAATCCAAATTTAATGAGTCTAAGAGCTAAACATCCATTCATAGCTAAATACTAAGTCCAGCCCTCCAATTGTCAAACATTTCATGTGCTAAATTATTTCTAAAATTTGCCCATTGATCACTTGGCAAAATAGTGGATATGCACTCTACTTCTTCATCACTGTCTTCATCTTCACTTTCATTTTCTTCACTTTGTAGTAATTCTTGTGGATCAAAAGTCATGAACTTCCTTATCAAGTTGTGCAGCAGACAACATGCCATAATTATTCGCACTTGTGTTTGAATTGGAAAAAATGAAGGGGATGCTAGAATCTTCCACCTTCCTTTTAGCAATCCAAAACATCTTTCTATGATATTTCTAGCTTTAGAATGTTTCATGTTGAAATATTCCTCTGGTCTTTGTGGTCGATAACCATTGAATTCATTAAGGTGATATCTTTGCCCTCGATAAGGGGCAAGAAATCCATCAGCATTACAATATCCAGCATCCACCAAGTAATAACAACCTTCAAAATTCAATCATGTACAAATTAATACTAGACTACCTTATTTTCGAAAAAAAATTGATTGAATGGTATTGAATACTGCAATATATGTTTACCTTGTGGGACTCTAAGACCATTTGGTCTAGAGATAGCATTTCGAAGCACACGACCATCATGTGCCGAACCTTCCCAACCAGGCAAGACATAGATAAATTGCATATTAGGAGAACAAACCCCTAATACATTCGTTGCAATACTTCCTTTTCTCGTTCGGTATCTTGATTTTTGTTCGGTGGGTGGTGTCACATCTATTAATGTCCCATCTAAGGCACCTAAACAATTCTATTTTAACAAAAATAAAAAATATAAATGAGTTAAAATGTCTATATTGGATAGTTTAGATGAAAACATACATTTTATTAAATGATTGTATTTTAATATTTGAATTACCTTAAAACATTTCCATCTCTCATCTGTGCAATCTTCGGTAATAGGCTCAGGCTTCTTAAGTAATATAGTATGCAATTTCAAAACTGCTAGGAGGCAAAGATTAAATTGACGACTCACCGTTTCTCTACTTCTCCAAAATAGACCACAAATTGTTCTACTTTTCTTGTGGTGAGCCAAAACATATACAAACATGGCAACAATTTCTTCTATTGACATGTTTCTTGTAGCTTTCAAACCTCCAGTGTCTCTAATCATTTCACATAATATCCCAAATGTTCGTCTATCCATACGAAGTTCGCTAATACAATAAGCATCACTCTCCCTAGTCAAATTGAATAAGTGTTGCATGCGCTCAGTGACTTTTTCTTCTTTTGATTTTATTTGGCGTCTTCTACTTTTGAGATGTATGAATATTAACTGGTACCACATCATAAACAGTGCAATAACAACCATTATCATTCCTGATAAAATCTGGCTTTGCCCTCGATATTTTTTGCGTCTTCTGTTTTCAATAGGCAAACGTGGCATCTTTGTCTACATAACAATATGACAACCAAACGTAAGTATTCACCAAACTAGATTACGGCATCAAAATCTTCAAATGCATTAAACATCAATTGATCTTATTAAAAGGGCCTAGACATGCATCATACATCCGTAAACACAATGATGTATAGATATAAATAAGCATAAACAAACGAAATTGATGGTTGAAACTTGAAATCCTAATGTACGAATAACTATGAAACTGAAAGCTATTCAAGCAGACAATTTTACAAACAGGTACAGGGCATGTAGAAACCCACCCAAACTATACCAGTATTCACGGATCAAATAACCAAAAGATCAAGAATTGATTGACCTCCATTGAATGCGTAATCCAAGAAAACACATTAAAACATAAAAATGACAAATCTAGTGACATTAACATTTATCTCACCAAAAAAAAGAACAAAATAATGTATTTGTTGAAGTAAGTGAATTAAAATACATGTATTACAACCAATTTTGGTCTAGTTAGTTTTATTGTATCAGATTCCCTTCTTTTCTTCTTTATTTTCAGCTACCCAGTGAGTAGCCTGAAAAAACAGAGAAGAAGAAAGAGAAAAGCTTGCATACGAAAAGAAAATTGCAGAGGCAAGGGAGTTTGTAATCCACTAACCTGGGATCAAGGAATTCACCCTAGTAGAAGACTCTTCAACTCTAGAATTCGTTGTCCAAGGAGAGTCGAAAGCCACTGATCTTTATGGTTGTCCAACCGGTGAAGTAGAAGAGGTAGAAAATCTGATGAAGAAGAAGAACAGAAGATGCGGCGTGTAATGAAGAAAAAAAGAGGGTAGGTTCGTCATAAATGTTTTTGCTCGGGAATGAGTTGAGGGTTTTGTCCAAAACCTCCCAATTTACTCAGGAATGGTGAAAGTCCGATTTTTTAGAAATGATTCCAGAAATTGCATTCCAATAGACTTAACCCAAGCAACAAATAAGGGGTTCATTCCATTATTTGATTCCCAAACCCTTTAACCAAGCAGCCCCTCAGTAAGTGAAACCATTTTTTTTTTTTTTAACTCTCAATTCCTCCATTACAATCGTGCATCTAAATCAGACAATGTTAAAACAACATAAAATAAGTTAAACTTAGATACCCGGATGTGTGAAATCGATTCAATATTAAAAGATTGTAACCAAACATATTAGTAACTCATTTCAATTTAACTTTATTTCATGTCTACGTTGGGAATTGTTTTTCTTATCTCGTGAAGAAAAAATAGAATTAGACCAAGAGCATGAGAAGCAGAAGCACATCATAAATTAGGTTGTGGTGCATAATACAGTGCCGTAATGGATACTTCGCCATATAGAACAATGAGTTCTTCGTTACAAAGCTCGTTACAAAAAGAAGTCAGGTTTTCCGTGAAAAATATTTTCCTCTTATGTTTCGTTTTTTGTAAGAATAAAGTTTGGATAGTTTCGACTCCGATCATTATCGAAAGTTAGAATATGCTCTTGAAACTATAAATCAGTTACACGGTACTTAGATATTACTCACCAATTTGGCCCTTACATCAGAAGTAGGATCCAAATACCTTATATACATATAGTGCTATTATATGTTCTTCATGGCTAGCTAACTGACCCTGCATTAACATACAATTCAAATGCACCAAAGTAAAAAGCAAAAATCCGACAGATAAAAGTAGAAAACTTCAAATTCTTGTACTACATATTTCACGAGTAGTCTTCACTCATAGATTGGCGTTTTTCTTTTACTGTATACTGTGTAGAAAATTTTTATCATGTTACAAAAATGACGGAAAAATTTACTATCAATCGACGGTCCTCGTAATCAATTGATAGGATTGTACTATCAAATCTTGAAATGTTGCTATCTATTGATGTTTCGGTAGCTGTAGCAATTACCAGTCATATCTAATCTTGCCTACGTGGACCAAATCTATACTTTTGTTTTTGTTTGATTTATCCTCCCTGAATTAATAGTTCCAACCTTCTTTTTGTTTTTTGGGATAGTTCCTACAACGAATTGTATGCTTCAACAACAATGGGCTCGAAAGTCAGTCGAAAGTCACTGTTTGGAGATTTGATGAAGGCATTATTCGAAATATTATTTGAAATAATTGTTATAGTACATTTTATGATATAATCATGACACAATTTGACAGTTCAACTAGGGATGTAATCGAGTGCCATACTCGATCTCGACTCTCGAGCGAGTAGTATTATTGGAACTCGAACTCGAGTTCGAAACTTGCTCGTAGAACTCGAGCTCGACTCGCATGGGTTCAAGTCAATTTGAGCCTTATCGAGCTACAAAATTTCATTTTCTTGATAATTTTTTAGTGAAAAGACATTATTGCTCTTTTAAAATTTTTATACGACTTGAAACATTTCGTAAATTCAATAACTATTTTGGATATAAGAGTAATTTTATAATAATAATATATTAAAGAATTAAAATTAAAAAACTCGATAAGACTCGACTAGCTCTCGAGCGTTGCTTCTGAATACTCGAACTCGACTCGTTTGCTTTATAGAGGCGCTCGAATTAGACTCGAACTCGGTCAACCCGAGTTCAAGTCAAATTTTTGACCGAGCTGCTCGCGAGTTGGTTTGATTACACCCCTAGGTTCAACTAGACAACTTGGTGAACTAGCTACCTAATCGGGCTAGGTAAGTAGTTAGATCAATTAACTAGTCAATGGTTTATCAATTCAATTCGTAAAATCTCAAAAAATTGGCGGTTCAACAACTTGTTAAATGATTATATTATTTTTAATAATCCAAATACATTATTTTATTATATAATACAACCATCGAGTCAATCAGTGAATCCTGGGTTGAACCAATATCCCATTGAACTAGTTACTGAATTGGGTTGATATATGGGCTGAATTTAATAACAATGTATGTAAAGTTTGTGAAATAAAGAAAAAATTCGAAAGATAAAAATAAAATGAAAAAATGTGCTTCTGATACAAGTATAATTTTTTTTTTTCAAGTAATAATATATCCAAACATGAGTGAGTTGTTTTTTCTATTATGACTAGTGACAATAAAGGAAACCACCAATTGTGCCAAAAAAATACGCACCACAGGCTGTAGCTAACCTCACAATTGCAAATTGTTGGATATCATAATAACATGGAGATAGATATAGATAGCTAGAAAATACGTTCATTTAGCATTTATTTTTTGGGTTCGTCTATTTAGCGCCTTAAGTGCAACAGATAAGAAGTTGGTGTGGCATTATTCTTTGTCCAAAAGGATAAAAACTTTTATTGTGAAAGTGTTACAATTCAAGAGATGAATGATAATTTCAAAGTTTAGTAGTAGACCAACTTCTCCTTTTTTTTTTTTGTGCTTATCTAAATCTTATTATTTTACCGTCTTCAAGCACGAAGTAATAATATAGAGTCAATTTCTCTGCCGTCGCATCCAATGAAAGGATATGATGAATATTTATTTGACGTCAAGCTCAATAAAAATGCCATGATACGTGTGATAAGAGTTGTTGTCAAGAAAATATATAAAAAAGGAAGCCCAAAGCCAGTAAAAGAGGGGAAAAATGACATTGTGAATATATCAAATAAAATTGCGGGCCATGGATTTTTTTTTTTGTCTATACAATGTTTAGTCAAATGGGCACGAAATAAGTTGAGTGATAATTTTGGTATGATCGATTCATAAATTTCTGCTGGCAGATTGTCTGCTGAATTATTGGCGGACATCGATTGTGATGGCTTGGAAAACTTTGTTTCCTCTAATTCAATAAATTAGTTATATGTTGATTTATTGATCGATTCATAGCATTCTTTATCAGTTACCTTTTGATTCAAAGGTCAGTCCACTGTTTGGAGTACTTATTCATAAGAATGTGATTAAATAAGTTTGCAGAGTAAATTGAAGAGACAGATATTGAGAATCAGGGCCTGACAGATATTATTACACTATGAGGTCTCATTTCGATTTAGTCTTGCATTTATTTATTTTTTTTGAATAATTGAATTTGAATTCATATATTCATTCTTAAGATCCTTGCCCTGCTGTGCCGATTAGCAGAAGTATTGGTATATCATGAAATTTTTCCTTGTCTTGCCCCTCTCTTACCTAGTTTTATTTTTTCCTTGGACAATCAGCACAAATACATAAGTCATTTTCTATCAGGTGTCATGCATTAGGAAAAGAGTTTTGTTCCTTGAAAGTCATTTTTTTTAATTTATTTATGTGTCTTGATTTTGGTCTCCTACACAAAAAATATATATATATTTTTTTTCATTTTTTAAACTTGTGCAGGCATGTATCAACAAATTGTAATTGGAATATATATATATATATATATATCACAGATTTTCAGCCAACCCATTGCCATGTATACTAGCCACAAATGTATGCCTAGCAACTACCATTTAATTGTTTGGGTACATTAATTAATTTGAAGGGCAGACATATAAAGCTGTTGGATCTTATCAATTAAATAAGAGCCCATGTATTGTTCATCTTGGTGATCATGACTAGTCAATGGCAATAAGACTGTACTCTCCTATCTTGGAGATGATCCTTCCAAAGAGTGGCCATATCATCGAGGCACCTTAGTGTTTATCGCTACAAACTTATAAAAATTATTTGTGATTTGTATATGTAAATTCTGTAATCAATTGGAAAGCAGAAAATTCAATTGACAGTGAATTGAGTGGATAATTATATCCTAATGCACAGTAACTTCTACGAGAATATTATACTCATAAACAGTTTAAGAATAATTAATAACTCGTAATCTATCATATTCGAGGGGCGATTATATTGTGGCCCAGAAAGATCTGAGGATGGTGGACACATTGTTACTTTATTTGCTTAATTATGAGTTTACTGATAATATTTGCTTAATGGAATTCTGCATTTACAAGTTATGTATTGTCAATCATGCATCTCTGAATATTTTGCACCCCTTGCTGAATATTACAAGGTTTAATATTCATTTTGGCAAATCTTCTAACTTGTCTTTCTTCCTGCTGTCTCTAGATAAAGACTCATGACTGTTATAGATAAACAATAAGGTGTTGGGGAGTGTAGAGATGTAATGCATCACTGATTCACAAGCTCAACTCTATCATGGGAAGAATGAGCTCCAAACAAATTACTTCCATGGAATGACATTTTATTTTTTTAATTTTTTTTTATCTGGGGAGGGGTGAGAATTAAGACGTGAGGGAGAGATGGGAGATCTTAATTTAAGATTTCTAATTTCTAGAGTTTTAATCTTAATCATTAGGCAAAAAGCCTCCTTGGCTTCTAAATATTTTACTTATTTAACTTTTACTTAATTTATTGGACAAAATACACTTTATTTCCCTCTGATTTAGCAAATTTTCACATAACCTCCCTATAGTTTCAAAAGTTATATATAATCCCCTTATAGTTTTGATTAAAGTATCAAAATAACAAAAATAATCATTTGTAATGGAACCCATGAAAATGCCAAAATTACCTTTATTAAAAAAAATGGTTGAAGTTACCAAAATATATAAACATAATATGCATGACACTCTAACCCTATGTGGTTTTATATTTTACCATATAATTCCCTTATGGTTTACTATTTTATCATATAACCCTTTTATGGTTTTCAAAATATATATATAATCCCCTCATAGTTAATAAATAATTTTTAACTTTACATAGGAATACTTTTGACATTTTAATTGGTTCCATTATGGAATGCAAATTCCGTCATCTTGATACTTTAATTTAAAGTATAAAGGGATTATGTATAACTTTTGAAACTATATTGGGGTTATGTAAAAAATCGCTAAACCATAAGGGTGTAAAATATATTTTGCCCTAATTTATTTTTTTGTAAGTGCTTTATTTGTTTCGATCACTTGTATTTTTTTGTTCATAATTTCTTGAACCCTGTATTATACATTAAAAAGTCCCTATACTAGATTAACAGTTTAAGTATGACCAAAGAATTTTAGTAAGATTGCAGATCTATTTCTTCGAAACAAAAAGTTACCTTGTTTGATCATAAAAATCGTTTACAAATTGAATCGAGCGTCACCAAAGTTGAAAATAATTCATGAAAGTGTGTAAATGGCAATTTTAGTTCCCATACCATATACACATAACCTAAATGAAGTACTTATGAAAGATATATTTGCTACAATTAAACATATGAACTGTATATCCTGTCCAAATTTCATAGGCTAGGATTTACTGCTCGCCTATTCAAAGCTCTCTATACTTTATGGAAAATTCTTGAACGATCCACGATTTATGAGCTTATTTACAAACCATGTTGCCATGTAAGTAGTCACAATTGGTGATATGGATCTTTGATGGCTGCACTGCTAATCTAAGTATTTTCCATACTCCATGGGCAGCTCTAAGACTTCCGAACTGGGGATGGCAAAAGGGCTTTTGCTCTTTTTTTTTTCTCTTTAGAACTTTTTGTTCTCCCAAGCAAGAAGAAGAATCCTTTGTATGTTTTACTTGGATTAAAGCGAAAAATCTACATCACTAACAGTACGGATTGCAAAACTTCTTGTATAGAATCAAATAGCCCCCAGACTAATTCTATAACAATATCCATATAAATTTTATATTCTAAAATAGTCAGAGTATCTAATAAATGATAGTACATTGCACTAGTGCATGATCTATGAAGTAAGATAGTGCGAAAGCGACATGTAAACAAACGAAAAGAAAACAGCATTTTTTCTCATTGATATAAATTCATGTTCAATTATTCATGCCTAAACCATTTTTAACCCCTTGCTTTCATCAGTCTTCGTTTCTTGGTTAATAGATCTCTGAAGAAATGAGTCTAACTGGTAAACTGGTTTTCCAAATCGAAATTAAGTCCAATGGAGATATGTTTCATGAGCTCTTCAAAAACAAACCACATGAAATGTCCTCCATAAGCCCTGATATCGTTCATGGTTGTGAGCTGCATCATGGTGATTGGGAACAGTAGGATCTATCATCTTCTGGACATATACTCACGGTAAGTTTCTGATTCTTTCCATTTTTTCCATCGATTTACTTTTACCATTTTAATACTTTTTTTTTTTTTGGGGGTTTTCCTTCCAAAGTTCAAATCTGTCAATCTTTCTTGTTATATCTGCTACATGCAAGTCGTGAAGAGCATTAAATTGCTTTATAAGTTGGTCAAGCATTCTTAAATACTCAACAAGTCTACGTTGCTTAAAGTTGCGCTGGCGAGACTTTGGCCGTTTAAAATTATGCCTTTCGGCTTCAAAATCCAGTACCTAATCTATTGGTTAATTAATTCCACTGTTCACGTCTTTTCAGATGGACAAAAGAAGGTGGCGAAGGAGATAATTGAGTCTATAGACAAGGAAAAGAAGTCGGTCACATTTTAAGGTGATTAAGGAGACCTGTTGAAGTTGTACAAGAGCTTCATCATTACTGTTCAGGTTGAAAATCATGGTCAAAACACTTGGTTATATGGACCCTCCAGTACGAGAAATTGAATCACAGCGTCCCTGATCCAACAACTATAGCAGACCTTGCCACCAAACTCACTAAGGATATTGAGACTCACCATCTCAAATGAAGGGCCTATGATTTCCGAATCATGATCATATGAAGCATAAATTTGATTACAAGTTGCTATATTTGTAAGCGTATGTTGTGAAGGATGTGAACTTGATGAAAAAGATTGTGGCATGTCCAATGTGAAAGACTCAAGTAATTGTGTGTTTTCTTGTTGTACTGTTTTGGTATGTTAGTAATTCTGTAACCAGCCTATCATCTGTTATAAGAATCTTTGTGCAACATAAATAAAACGAGGGCTTTATAATTTATGCCTAAGTGTTGTTATGGTATTTTTACATGCATAAAACCGATTTCATTACTTACATAAAATCCTCATCCTGGAGGTTTTAGCTTCGATGGTATTTTTTTCATGAAATGTAGTGACATTGACATTTAACTCTTAATTTCCAACACCATGCAAGCTTCTTATTCATGGACAAAGTTCACGAAAATGCAGGGATAGTAAAAGATGGAGTGCCTAGTGTTGTTGGCACGACTCCGTGAAAATAATGGAGAATGCCGATCATGTGTTAAGATTACACTGTACTATAAACATTAAACTAATTATTTTGTTATTCAGACAGTTATAGTTACATTGGTTCCAAATTATACACATGGAGTTAATTAAGTAAAATTACTAGGTACTGATTCAAAGAATTCACTCTTTCTGGCTTTGTATAGAATATGGGATTGTAAAAATGATTCAAGTCCAAAATTAACATACTTTGGAACTTATCTGGGTAAGACTAGTAGCTCAAATGTCAAATTATCTATGTAAAAAAAAATTATTAATATTAACCCAATACATCTATGAAAAGTCCAATAAGCCTTCTATTTTGTTATTCCTTTTCTTATTGTTCTTATATTAGTATTATTTGTTTACTTTTTTCATAATGCAAGATTTGTCTTTCCCTCTATTTTTTTTTTGCTTTTTTTTATATGTATCTTTTCATATCTTTGATTTCATTGTGCTAGATCTAAGTTGAATAAAAATAAGAAATGGAATAATACAGGGAGATTTTGTTGCCTCTCTCTAAAATATAAATTTACTTGCTTTCGTGGGAAGAGGGAAAAAAAAGAAAAAGAGAACAAAAATCATTTTATTAGCGCTGATGATATTTTACTCCAACTAGAATAAAGTACAACTACATGCCCAAATGATTTGTTTCTATGGCACAAGTGCTTGAGCTGCACTTTTGTTTGATACCTTGCATTCTGATGATTTGCATGAATGCTTGAAACTTGAATGTCAGTGTTGAGGGAACTTCTACCAGATGATATTCAATTGCTTGTGTTGGTTTGAGTTAGCTTTTCTTTTTCTTTTTTTTTTTCTGAAAACCTTGCCTGTCCATGTAATGCAGAATAATAAAAGGGATACATTCAGACGTTTCAAATGTTGTTCGTGCTGATGAGTTTTTTGAGTATAAAGATCCAGTGGATGGTTCCATCTCTAAGCATCAGGGTATCCGATATCTGTTTGAAGATGGTTCGCGATTGGTAAAGTCCTAGCCCTTGAAGCTTAAAAAAATGTCTAATTTTGTTCCTAATAATTAAATGCTTTACTGCAACGGGGTAGTATTTCTTATTATGTTTCAAGTAGAGTACAATGAACACAGAAGGAACGATTAATCAGGATATGAGCCTTGCTGACTATTTCATACGGTAGATGTATCTGTCTTTCTCTCTTCACCGCACCTTCCTCTTGCATCAGGTTTTCTGTCTTTCTGGAACTGGATCAGAGGTTGCTACTATTCGTGTTTATATTGAGCACTATGAGAAGGATTCTTCAAAAACTGGCAGAGATTCTCAAGAAGCACTTGCTCCTTTGGTGAGATACTGCAGCGCATGTTTTCATACCTATTTAACATGAATCTATTTCAGGCTCCTCGTCTCTGAAACTGGTTTTTGTCGCCTCAGGTTGAAGTTGCTATTAAGCTCTCTAAGATGGAAGCATTCACTGGCAGATCTGCCCCCACAACCATCACATAAGAACATGCTGTTACGCAGTTTAACAGATTTGTATGTCTTAACAGCACAAATAAATGGTATAACTGCTGTTATGAGTCAATAATGCTCCACTCTACGGATACTCCATATCGACTTGTGTAATTTTTGTGTTTCTGCGGCCTCAATATGGTGGACATATTTGATGAGAATATCTGTGGACTTGGGTTTCCAGTTTTGCACGTAAAAACTTTGGATGGTCGGGTAACTTTCGGCACCTCATTCCCTTTAATCTAGCGTCTCTTTTACGGTAGTTTATAATTTGTTCTTTTACCCTATCTTCTGCATTGATTTTTCTTTAAAAATGTATATACGGTCGAGGAAATCTACTTGTTTTTTTTTTTTTTTTTTTTTTTAAGGTCGGTATATTACTCATTTGAAAAATTAATGTCGGTCGTCAAATTCCTTCAGATTTAAAAGTAACTCAGGCAGGGTATCGGTATGCATAATGAATTATTGCATGATGTCTGTTTGGTATAAGCCAAAGTTTTCAAACTTTGCGACCATATTGATGATGACAGCGATGTCCTTGAATTCTTCTCCATTGGAATTAGAATCCTTCTGGAGACCATGGCATTTGTCATCAAGTTCGGAAAGTACAAGCGCCTGCACTTTTTGTTCCTCCACCAAACGCTCTATGAATAAGGTAAGGTGTTGGAGGAATGTAAACCCAACTCTTTAGTCATGCCATGCCCTGCCATGCCTGGAGATGGTTTCAGAAAATCCCGGTATGGTAATGGAAAAGAAGGGACAAAAGGTAAACTCTTTTAATCATCCAAAACGGTAGGGGAAGAAAGAACTGTTTTTCTATCATAAAATCCGAAGATTTGAAGAGTTTTCTTTTAAGAAAATAGTTCGGAAGACAAATGGAGCTGGGGCCCAAAACAAAAAAAAACAAAAAAAAATCAAGATTTCAGGAAAAATATAAAACACTCATCCATGATCACACAGAATCAAAGAAAAGATAATTGGGACCCTCGAAACAAACCCATATATTTTGAAATGCATCAAAAAATTCCAATCTTTATTCTTCTTTTTCATAATTAAGTATGACATTATCTATCTCCATACAATAATGCAATGCAAAGGGTGATGATCTGAATAATCAAGTCTTATTATTTTACAGGAAACCGATGATTAACATTCCCGGGTAACCAACCAACTATTGAGATAGTACAGTGTATTATGACATCAATCAGTATGGTTCTTTCGGCTCTGGCTTCCGATCAGTACGGTTCTTTTGGCTCTGGATCAAATATTAGTCCAAGTGACTATTGAGATAGTATCATGACATCAATCCTGAAGGGGTCCATTGTCTTGGGTGGAGTGAAAGCTCTGCTTCACTCCTTGTTGAACGCTCAAATTATCTCAATGTCGGGGCCAGCTGAACTCCAATTTATAACTTGTTGGTCACACCACATCAGCGATGGAAGCAGCATCTTATATATGGATAAACACTAAAGTGCATACTTTTGTCGTACGAATTAGAGAACAAATTAAAGGGTCAATTCCCTAATCTCTCGTCCATACATTACTTTTCACAGGGTCGAAATCCGGTTCTCATTGCTCCATTTCAAGTGGTCCTCGTACGTGGTCACGTGGACGTTTGGATCACTGCTTAATGCAATCCACAAGAATAGTTTCGCATTGCAACCCCTTCAACGAAGATGTTAATTACAACAAAACAAAACCTTAACAGGGCAGAAAAAAAAAAGAAAAAGAAAGAAAGATAAATGCTGCAAAACATTTCGTCCATCAGCTGACCCAATGTAAAAAAGCAGAACGGACCCAATAATTCAGAAGATGCTTCTACCTTTTTCCTTTTTTTTTGTTTAGGAAGGGTTTTTGGGGGGGGGGGGGGGCTCTTTCTTTTTCCATTCATTTCTTTTCAGACTAAGACGAAAAAGAGAGACTCGATGACTGTGAAAAGCTACCCCAAAGAGCACGAGAGCCCCATAGGACAGTCCTCCTAACCTGGAATTAGGCCAGCCATGCTTTAGAGGCTAAGTCAGTGTTTATCTGACTTTGATGCCTCTTATAGGTATATATCCCCGATTGAGCAAAAGCCAAACACCATTTTATGCAACTCTGATCTCATACGCTTCTTCCCTACATGGAGTAACTATCATCTTTTTCATTTCTTTTCCTTGCTCTTTTAGTCCTATAGATAAGGATCCATGCCTTTTCATCTTTTTAGATCCACACTTGTAAGACCGTTGAGCTTACGCTATGAATCGAAGGCAATTATTGAAATTTGGTCCACTAATTAAGCGAGGTAGTTAGGCGAATGAGTGTGGTTGTTTGATAGCTGAGCTTGATCCATCAAAATAACTTTGATGTAGCTTGATCCAAAAAGCTTAATTTTTACCATACTAGTGCTAAATTTTATTGGTACTAATTGAGTGAAGCATGTTGATGATTTTTCTTTTTGTTAGGACCACCTAGTTAGGTTTCATCGTTAGAGTGGAAACAAATACCGGAGAAAAATTGCTGTTACTGGGTTTGACAAGTCAAACCATTACTACGTTAGAGGTTGTTTAGATTGCATTAGTTTAGAAGAATTTGTGAAAACAAACAAAATTACTATTGTACTTTTTGAGATGTGGCATAGTCAAAGACAAAATCTAGGGGGTTATCTTCTCACCTTAAAATTTTGAAAATTTTAGAAAACTCCTCCTATATAGTTTAAGCTATTTACTCTCCAAAAAATTTCATTAACTTTATATGCACATATATATATTTCATCCCTTTTAAATTTACATTATTGGTCCTGTTCCTGGATATATATGAAATAAATTGGTAGTTGAAAAATGTGACGTGGAAATATTACTTGGGAACTCGAAAATTCTCCCCAAAAAATGACAATCCAAAAGCTCTTATTCCTTATTCTTTAAAAACTCAAAATTTTCTCCACAAAAGATGAAGATGACAATCCAAACAAGCTCTTATTCCTTATTCTACTCTACAAATTGGGTTCGTCCAACCCATTTTTTACGCGGAAGAAATTAATCAGAAAAAAAAGGACTTTATCAAATCTTTTGAATTGCTTTTAATGAAAATTAAGCTACAACCCACGAATTCTACGTAATGAAATTTTACGTGATCGGTGTGCTCAAAAGGAGAAATGGAAGGAAGATTTGGCGCAACTTAAAAGAGCGCTTGTGGAGAAGATTTTACTTCCTATAACAACACTAAGATGTCTTTTGAATGACATAAATCTATAAGGCAAACACAATCTCACCATCACCATATTATTGTGCTTTTCCATGAAAAGAAAAGCAGTTAGACATATTTATCTAATTGAAGTATACACACTCTAATTGACGTAACACTTTAGCTTTTTCCTACTGTTCTTCACTACTCGAGAGCCACTAGTGTTTTTACTCATTTAATTCCATTTATTTTTGGTAAATGATGGAAGCCATATAATCATTTGCTAACAGAGACAGTCATATTTGCGTCTGAAAACAAGGACATGACATTTTTAGTCAATTTCCAGCTACGAGAAACACACTTTCAAATTCTAACCACCTCTCCTTATCAAATTTCTCAATCTAATCAAGACATGGAAGCATAAAGTTTGCGCTTTTAGCGAAAAAGCTAAACGCATAGCCAATAGGATTAAGGAAATACACGACAATGAGGTACTAATCAATTGCGACTCAAGCAAGAATGAATGGTGGAAATTTTTTGGACTGTCATTTGAGAAAGGGATGATATCATCTTCATTTTCCTGCCCATTATCCTCGAAATCCAGAAATCATTCATAGCCTCATCTATCACATATACATCCATGCATAATTATGCATATACATGTTTAGTTTTGCATGCATAATTCATTATGCATGTCTGTATTAAGTCATCATGCAAACCTTTTTTTACGTCTTACTTTTGAGGAAAATCTAGCTTATTATAGAGAAGATAAGGAACTATTATGTAGAAGTTTGATTAACTAAATCCCAATCTATTCTTTTACATCTTTGTTAAGATAATAGCAAGATCAAATGAACTAAGATATAATTAAGTAATAGCAAGATCAAATGAACTAAGATATAAATAGATGAGAGTTCACTCACACAGTTGGAAGTTTGGAAGGAACAGATTAGTTTGCAGTTAGATTGTTGAAGGTTTAGTACCATTGCTGATTAATTCTTAGATGGTTCAAGAGTAAATTGAACTTATATGTTTTCTCCCTTTACATTTCCATAGAAGGATAAAAATTAAGAGGAGGAGTTCACCAAATGACGGTGTGAGGACATGCGAAGTACGGGAAAGTGTAAGGAAGAGGACGACTGAATATTTTGTCAATTCTCTTATAATCAATATTCCATGATGACCATCGAAATCACTTGTCAGAAATGACCAATCCAATACACAATTTGCAAATTCTCTTACACCACAATCGTTCGTTTTTGTTAGGATAGATACATATAAGTCATAATCCACTCAGCTTTCAAAGTTGTCACAATTACTCACCTCATTATCTCGTTTCAATTTGGATTTTTACATTCTGAAACTGCAAAAGCTGGAAAATTCCAGGAAATTGATGGTCCAACAAAAACTAGAGAAATAATAAGAGAATTAATTCCCATTTGACTATTCTTTCTTGTCTATGTTTTCTCCATATTATGTTTTCAGAGGATGTGTGAAATGAACTTTTATTTCTCTTAATTTGCGATGGATGGCGTAGTTTGTTTAGACAAAATATGAAAGTGACTTGCTAAATATGTCCTAACTAACAAAAAGTATGCACTTAACTATTTGATAGCACCTTAAGTAATAGACCAGTAGGTCAGAATAATGTATGGCTTACATTCGAAGATAGAGGCTTGTCATTCTGTTTCTGTTCATTTTTTTAAAAAAAAACAGAAATAAATGTTTCTTTTTCATAATTTTTTATATGAAACCATGACTTCCTGATAATTTGTAGACCTATGATTTATGTGCTAATTAATATTTTGGATTATTAATTACATGGAAATGCTATTAAAGCTTGTCATCTTGAAGACAAGGTTAAGTTCGAAGGAATTATTCTGCTATTAAATGCGGATTAGGGTGCAGGGATGATATGTTCACCCGTAGCCCAAATAGATAAAGGGTGATATTATCAATAAATTAAGATCATATCCTTCAAGACAGACTCACAAGCTAGACACATGTGTAAGTGAATCGGCATGTGAAAAAAATAATTAACTGTATATATAATTTCATCAAAATATTTATTTCAAAACGAGATCTCAAATACAGCAGCAT